AATAACAATAAGCGACCAGAACACTGTTAAAATCGCATTTAATCGCGGAGTACCACTATTTTTTTGACTGGTGGCGCCATCCGTGGCAAATCGCTGAAACTACTAGCCAATTTTTTGGCCAGCAGTTTCAGCGTTTCGCCACGGATGGCGCCACCGGTCCAAAAAATAATGGTACTCCGCGATTAAATGCGATTTTAACAGTGTTATAGTTGTTTATTGGTATTATCAATAATAGTGGATTAATCTACGTACTTTCAGCTACAAATTGAGTGCTTCAGCTAAACGAAAGCTATCCGTATAACGGTGTAAGAGCTATGCAAAGTGAACTAACCGGGGTACGCATGACGCGATACAGTTTCAACCGTTGCAAATAAATCTGATTTTAACAATGTTCTTGTAATTACTGATTCCCAGCCGTTAGAGAGTATTATTCTACGTTCTTCAAACTTCTAATCTAATGCATGACGAGGAAAAATGATGCCCGTTCAGCGGTGTAAATGCCGTCGAATTAGGGTTGCCGCTCCATGAGGTAGCTGCGGTATTACAGGCATAATTATTTTGACTAATTCTGAGGTTTTGCAGTATTGGGTTGATGCATTAAGTCCTCAGGAATAATTTGTGATTAACAGCGTTGATTTTCAGCGCCTAATTACTGAGATATTCGCATTTTTCCATCACTAGAAATTTTCACTCACCTGTCGGTATTATTTGGCTAGCAGTTTCAGCGAATCGCCGCAGGCGGCGCCACCGGTCAAAAAAATAGTGGTATTCCGCGATTAAATGCGATTTTAACAGTGTTCTGGTCGTTTATTGTTATTTTCAATGACAGGAGATTAATCTACGTTCTTTCAGCTTCAAACTGAATGCTTGACCAAGACGTAACTTGTCCATAGAACGATGGAAGAGCTATTCAAAGTGAACTAAACGGGGTACGCATGGCGAGATACACTGTCAACCGTTGCAAACAAATGCGATTTTAACAATGTTCTTGCAATTACTGGTTTCCAGCCATTAGAGAATAGTAATCTGCGTTCTTTAAACGGTGTATCTAATGCAAAACGAAGAAGAACCATGCCCGTTTAGCGGTGTAAATGCTTTCGAAATATTTTGCAATTAGGGTTGCCGCCTCATAAGGGGCTACGGTAATACAGACATAACTAATTTTACTAATTCAGGGGTTCTACACTATTGGGTCCATGCATTAAGTCCTGAGGGACAATTTGAGACTAATGACGTTCATTTTAAGTGCTTAATTACTGAGATATTTGCATTTTTCCATCACTAGAAATTTTCACTCACCTGTCGGTATTATTTGGCTAGCAGTTTGAACAAATTGCCACGGGTGGCGGCACCGGTCAAAAAAATAGTGGTACTCCGCGATTAAATGCGATTTTAACAGTGTTCTGGTCGTTTATTGTTATTTTCAATGACAGGAGATTAATCTACGTTCTTTCAGCTTCGAACTGAATGCTTGATCAAGACGTAACTTGTCCATATAACGTTGGAAGAGCTATTCAAAGTGAACTAACCGGGGTACGCATAACGAGATACAGTGTCAACCGTTGTAAATAAATGTGATTTTAACAATGTTCTTGTATTTACTGGTTCCCAGCCGTTAGAGAGTATTATTCTACGTTCTTTAAACTTCGAATTTAATGCGTGTCGAAGAAAAATGATGCCCGTTCTCACAAGTACTAGTTTCTAACTTCGTTTATGAAAATACAAATTCCAAAATCTTCTCGCGCCACACGTCTCGGACAGTTCTGTCCTGAACTTACCCACAAAACGTAATTGAAATCATTTAAATAAAATAATGAATATTTCATATATCTCATAAATTCTAAGGCGGGGTTGTTGTTTAATAATTTGTGATAAAATACAAATTATTTATTTATAAAGCTTCATTACAAGATCCACCAAATAATTTTTTATAACATTCAAAGTACTAGACATTTTTAGAACACTGAATCTCATATCGATTTCTAAAATAATCCTAGTTCGATGTAATATAGAACGTGGTTTTATGAGATAGATTCGAAGTTCGCAGCCATTAGCTCGATATTGTCATCAGTTTACAGTACTTTACCGATGATAATACCGAGTGCCTAGGCCTCATCGTAAAATCATGTTGAATACGTTTTTCTGTTTAAAGATCACGGCTTACAATCGCAGTGAGTAAATTCACTCAAAATAAAAAAGTCACGATCACGGTCGTGAATGAAGTTATCACATGACGATCACTGTGATAAATCACCGTTAGTGATTTTGCACGCCATCTCTAATGACATATTGACTTGACCATATTTTTGTAATCAACAGAATCGTTGCTCTTGTATGAAGTTTCATCAATATTTTACAGTGAAAATGAGACAAACGTTTATGTACAGTTTAGACTTATTAGAAATCACGATCTTCGGATCTTTGTAAATGTAACAGAAGTTTATATCATTCCAAAATATAACCTAAGAATTTTAAATGAACAAGGAAATGTCAGAGACCAAAACTGTCAAACATACTTCCTCGAAGGATGTTGTTATATCCCATCCACGTGCACGATTGAAAGCTCTTTCAGACTTTGCATCCGCTGTAGTAATGGACTGCAACACTCCACCACAAAGGTAATAGACTCTGCCATCATCTTGATACATATATTACTATTACACAGTTTTCACAAATTATTTTTTACATTTAAAATATCCGTAAATAATTTCAATACTCTTGGCTTCTTTTCCAATGTTTAGGTATTACCGCTCTGGTGTAGAGATGATCAGAATGGCAGACATGTATATGAAAGACAATGATCTCAATTGTGCATATATTTTATATATGAAATTCATCACGTAAGTAATTTATAATGCTTTATGAAAAATTGTTCTTTCAATAAATCTATTATTATAGGATATTTGTGGAGAAAATAAGGGAGCACCCACAGTATAATTCAGTGCCACTGAAGGATAAGGAACTGAATCAACAAACTTTACGTACAGTGATTCCTAAAGCTGAAAAATTAAAAAAACAATTATTAGAGCAATATCAAGCCGAATACGAGAAATCTTTAGAAGATGAAAAAGAGAAGGAGAGACTGAAGCAGCAAGAGTTAGAAAAGTACTATAAAAATAATTCTAGCAATAGATAAATCATATCAGTTTTCACACAGTTAGATCAGATTAATCTACTAGTAATATTTACTCAGGTTAAGGGAAGAGGAAGAGAGGAAAAACAAACTGGCTACGTTAGCAGCTGTTAGAGCAGCAAAGTCTACGAGTACAACTGTAGTGTCCCCTGAAGAAAACAGGTTGAAAAAAGTTCCTAGTATAGCACCTAAACCATTGATAAGCACATCTACTGATATAGTTGCACAAACATCTAAAGACAAGTAAGTTCAATATATAAGATTAAGTTCTTGTCTCTTATCAAACAATGCAAAAGATATTTAATTGAAAACTTCTCTTGCAGAAGGACACCTACTATAGATCGTTCAACAAAGCCTTCTGTGCTTATGAGTGGCAATCATTCTTTACGGGACATGGTGTTGCCAACTAAGTTAATGCAAAATTTTCTGATGCTGGCTTTCAGTAATACCACGAATAATAAAGAGACTTGTGGCATTCTCGCAGGAAAACTAGAAAGAAATAAATTATTAGTTACCCATTTATTGATTCCTGAACAAACCGGATCTCCCGATTCATGTGTAACATATAATGAGGAAGACATATTTGATTACCAGGATCAACATAACTTGATTACCCTTGGTTGGATACATGTATGTAACTTTTTACATACTTTTTATTGACTTTGCCTAATTATTGTTACCTTAATAATTTACTTTATATTGAGTTTTGTAATTATATTTCACAGACACACCCTACACAGACTGCATTTCTGTCTAGTGTTGACCTTCATACACATTGTGCATACCAACTTATGATGGCAGAAGCAATTGCTATTGTTTGTGCACCAAAATATGATGAGTAAGTAGAAATTATAAATTTTCAAGTACACATATGTAGGAACTTCGGAAAAAAAGGAATCAGGCGAGCAGGACTTGAACCTGCGTTCTTTGGAATCCCATCCTAGTTTTTCCTAGATTTCCTTTTCTTCTTAACGGCTTTAGTAATATACTTCAAAAATATTTTTGTCTCCTTTTTTTAGGACGGGATTTTTTACTTTAACTCCAGAGTATGGATTAGATTTTATTGCTAATTGTAGAGAGTCGGGATTTCATCCACATCCAACAGAACCACCACTATATACGGTAATTATAATAAAAAATATAATACAGATATGTACAATATAATATACCTTAAATATTATGCATTACAAATTTTTTTCAGAAAGCAAAACATTGTAAACTAGATGTAACAGCAATGTTAGAAGTGGTGGACTTAAGAAGAAAATGACATCTTTTAAGTGGAATATATATACTTAATATAACAAATTATTATCCCTCGAAAAAAAATCAAAGATACTTTTGCTTATCTAATATAAAAATCTAGAGGGAATATTGCAATTTAATATTTACAAAGCTTTCAATATTTTTATGATAAAGCATTTAAAAAGTATTTAACATATTTAATATAAAACAATGCATTTGAAATTGTATTAAAATTTCTAGTGAGAATGAATTTATTAATAATATAAAATAAATTATAACAGGCGTAATGGGCGAAAGTTTTCATGTCACTTCGCGAATTATATTTATTAATCAAATTAAATTTATTGTTGACTGAAAGCAATGAAGCATTATAGACAAAAGGTAAAATGTCACTTGAAATCATTCATTTGTATTTATTTTACTATTTAATCACACAATTTAGTATCGTCTAATGAGACTAATGTTCGTGTATAATTTACACAGAAGAGTAGTTACATCTGAAATTAGATATACAAATATGCTTCTGTTATATTTTCATAATATTCATATTTATCCATATGAATAATGTGCTACATTATAAGTCACAAAATAAATGTATAAGTTCGATCAGAACTTTTATGAACGTTAGTGATGTGCAAAATCTGCCTATAAGTTTATGTGCCTTTTTGAGAAAAATAATGGTGTTCAGGCATGCCGATTAAATGGACTCTGTACGATTGAAAAGTCAATAAAAGCATTGACACATTATGCTAGTCATAATTAATCTACAGAGCTTGCTATGAAACAAATTAGTATACTCAAAATAATTTTATCGTCGATCGATGAGCTTGTGCAATGCTTTGATGTACATTTCATCGCCGTGCTGTATGTTAAAATGTGTAATAGATGTTGATACATTAATTACAAACTGCAAGTACTAGTGGGTAATAACACCTAATGCAGGATTTGTGTGCTAGTATTATATGTCAGATCACTGTGCTTATGCACATTTTCTTCACGAGCCAGTAGGCTCCTTTGTCCCATAAACGTGCAAACCATCGTATGTAAATACATCCATATAATCTCATTAATATTTCCCTTCTGTGGCGCTTAGAGTAACGACTAACATTCATTATACAAAGAACAATTTCAATGCCAAATCGTGATGAAATATACGCTATGCGACCAGAGATGTAAATCTAATTTAATTAAAAAAAAAACAGCGTAGAAGGTAACTTATCCTAACTTAGCTGGCCTACTTTTGGTGCGTACGTCGCGTGAGCGAATGTTGGTGAAGAATTTATATTGCTTAAACAAAGAAATAAATTATGATGTCAATTAACAGAGACAGAATTCATTTTTTTTTTATTTTCATCGTTTAAACATGGAAACAGTTCGATCGTTGAATAATCATGATTCGTGGGAAGGGCCATTGCGATTATTCACTGGCGCAGGACGTTATAAAACGGGATCGCTTGGAAGCAAAAAAAAAAAAACAAAATGAAAAAAATTATTCAGTCCCAGTGTTTGGTATTCTAAAGGGACCCCATTGTAGGTAGATGCCGAGTACTTCTCGTGAGAATGCCTCTCGCCATTCACATCTCCTTGCGTATATCGAATTACCCGCGCGTTGAAGGGTTTCGCGCTTTGCAGGGTTTTATCGACGGCAGGGTCAATCTATTTTTACGTGGCAGCTTATATATTCGCTTCTTTTCAGCACGCGTAAATCACTGTACGCGTAAGCATTCTCTTTTTGCGCGTACTCCCCAGCACCCTTGCCAACTTTATTTCCTTCCCTTATTGTCTTTGCTTGTTGAAGCCTGGGCCATAAGAAATCTTAATCCGAGCCTGGGTACACTTGTCCCGCAACATTACCAATTATAACTTACGCTTACATTTTTTTAATTTTGAAAAAATGTATTCAAATAATATTATTAAAGATCTCTTCGAACTTTAGTGGAATATCAGCGGTAATATCTATAATAAGGTATTCTTGTAAACAACATTTATTTTTAACGTGGTTTATTTTGTTAAGCCAACATTCGTGCTCGTAAAAAATAAAATTCTTCTCGGAAAGGATGTTCATAAGCGTTTCAACAATTCGTTGAACTTTTAAAAAAGAATGGCGAAACCCCGTTGAACCAGTCATATGCGCTATGCATGTACGTACAGTATGAAAACTTGATTTAATTCTGATACGCGGACTGAACCAAAAATAATTCGTTCGCCATTGTGGATCGTATACGTCATACATGTTTAGAATACGAAAAAAGGGAATGTTTCGTGATTCAGCTGTTTTGAAAAATTAAACATCACGAATAAAAAGTGTAATTTTAATATTACACTTAAACAGGAAGTCTTACTTAACTGGTTAGTAATATTAATTGCGTTCGATTGCCGCAATTCAAGATGTCGTACACCCTCGTCGATAGAAGTTTGACGTAATTGGAAGATTCAATTTATCTATTGATTTCTCGCATCGGTGACGTGCGTATTGACTTTGACTCGATACACTTTTTCTTTTAGTACAGTCCTACACAATTGACCCATGAACAATTAAGAGCAGTATTCATTCTTATTTCTGATACTTAATCGACAATTAGGCTTGCTACTGAATATCGCACGATGAACATTGTTCGTCTTAAATGTATCGCATTGAACACTGTGCGTCATTAAATTCGTTTTATTTTTCCGATAAAGCTCCCCGAAACTTCGTTCGTATTCTCGTAGTTTAGACACAACACGTTTTATTATTTCAGTCGTTTTAATCGTTTGTGCAGTCGCCAAACAATGATAGCGTTAACGTCACACGTGAAGATTCTGAAGTTTCATGGGCTCTGCTGAACTTGCTACCTCACTGCATCGTTACTTCCAAGTATGTACATACATACATATACGCATACGATTCTATTACGCTGCCTTTAATCTCGTTGTAGCCGGTTTTTGCTGTCTGATATTGATCAGACCACAACCTGGGGCAGTGGGCACTCCAGCGCACATGGATGTGTTCCAAGAACATGGATAAGCGTTATGCTTTAGCGTCGGTAGAAGTCAACGTAATTATCTTAATGGCCACGCGTTTCATTCAGGTTTTCAGTAATTACGTAATGGTCGTCGTTGATCAATGTGTCGTGACGGATTGCGATTGGAGAACAGACGCAACATTAAATTTTCGTTATTAGGAAAATTGTGCAAGAGTGTAGGTAACTTGGAAATATAATGTTGCTATTTATGGATAATGTTAGGCAGCCTAGTACTTCGATGCATGAACATGTCGCTTCAGTGATTCCTACCAGGGTAGGCCTGAAGTAGGTCGAACCACAGCAATCATTGTGGGTACTATGTGCAAACCGAACACTTAAAATTCTCACCCTTGCCACTTTCTTTCCATATTTCGTCGATTAAAAATGGTAACAATTTAAGAACAGATCTTATCGAAAGAATTTATCGAAAGCCTCATACATGCTCAATAGGAATATTAAGCAGCATAAGTTCCAGTTTTGCACGTCAGTAAACTCGACGTCAGATCGTGAAACATAAAACAGTTCCACGAGATAGCAGATAAAGTTCTTACACGTAACTCTGCACAGTAGTCAAATTGCGTTCACCCAACAGAATACGATAACTTGTGGTAATGTATATCTATGACAACCACTGGGTAAATCGTAACATTCGATGGAAATCAATAGTGTAATTTAAGAGGACATATCCTCTCCTAAAACACTGCCTGATTGCTTATTTTAATACCTTAATTTACTCATTTTGAATGTTCATTGTGCGTGTTCATTTACTGGTACATCCACCCTATGCACGTCATTCTGAGCAGTATTTCGTTCACTGTTGCAAAATTCCTAGAGAACACTCCACACATACAAGTAGACCCAAAGTTCTCAATTATTTTCGACCCGAAACTGTATCCCAGATTTTAAACTTGACTCTGATTCGGGTAATCATTGAACCTCTTATCACCCAACAAATTACACTTGTCCAAACAGTGCTTAATTATAGTCGTCTGATAAGTAAATTAACTACCAGTGTGGGAATCGGTTATCAGATCGTCTTCTCCGGCGGACCTTGTGATGCCTTTGCAGATGCCGCGCGTTGTTCGAACCCTCTCTTCGCCGGCCTGTCACCGCTATATGCCTCTCCAGACGATGCGAAAAACTCGCAGTGTGCTGTCGTTCGCGAACGAAGGAGCAAGTTAACGGTATGTATACCTATGGATACGATTTGTGCGGCTCGCGGTCTCCACCACCGTTCGAAGTTGTGAAACGTGTTCACACACCGATCGTTTCGCAACATTGAATAATACGGTAACTTGCGATCGATAAAAGTTGGTTCGTCACGTGTCTATCCAGTAAAAGTCTAGTAGATTCTATCTAGCCTATCCAGTACAGTCTATTCCATCATAAAGGCCGATCACCACACACGGAAATATTATCACGATTAAACTAACAGGTGTGTGGCATCCAGTGGTACGTTCGTCTTCTGCAAAAAATTTCTCCGTGAAAAAAGTGTCAACTGCCCGTATACCAGTTTAAATGTGACACATCGTCCGTGTCGTATAATATCCTGGTGTATACTGATTGTTGTGCAATCGTTCTTGCGGTGCCTCGTGAGACGTCGTCGTGGTGGTGTGGTGTGTGGATCGTTCGCGCCGTTTGTTTCCCGAAACCAGTGAAGGATACGTGAGTCGGGACCGCCCGCAGGTTTTCCCCGGAAGTAACACGTCGAACACGCACGGAGAGCTAGAAAAAGTGAACGGCAAGTGGAGTTTTTTAATCTGTGCGCGAATGTTGTGTCCACGGCTCTTGGACGGGATCTCGCGAGCAATTGTAATGCAGTTGATCGTGGGATGCTGGTAATTCGGTCGTATATCGGTGTAATCGCGGCGTCGAGAAACCGTGGGTCTAATCGCGCGTTGTTGTTTTAACGGTTTTAGCGTCGTAGCGGTTCCGTTCGGCGGAACCGTTGCGAATCACGGGGAAAAAGTGGAACGTCGTTTTACTTTCACGTATGAATGACGGCACGGACTATCCAGAGCGTGGTATTTCACGCCGAGAAAATTGGGCCCAGTCCTCATTTACGTCTTACGCGCCGTTTAACATTTTTACCGAGCGACTGGATTTATTATTGGTCAACCGGGGTTCACCGTGTCCGATATTCGAGCACGGATTCCGATTGAAACGTGACCTCGACGAAAATACGCTCACTGTGTTATCCGTTCTAATCGGCTACCGCCACTCGAATACGCAACGATAAACGGTAACGCGACAATTGGATATCGTAATTATCGAGATCATCGTAAAACTATCCGGAGGTAATTAACGATAATGTCCCCCAGCTTGTTTTCACGCACGTGATAAACCAGGAGGAAATTTATACGCGGGAAGTTTACACAGTGTCCTGTGACCAGCGGTACCAGGAAGAAGAATGTCGTTTTTACGCATGCACAGGCTCGGATTAAGATTTCTTCTGGTCCAGGGCTATCAGATTTTCGGAGGCCCCCTTAGTTCAAAAGCGGGGAGGATTTTTTATGATACACCATAACAAAATACATAAATCTTTAAATATTGAAACTTATTTTAGATAAAATTTAATAACATTTAATCATAACGAAATGGAAGGACAACAGTCTACAGCCCCCCCCTTAATACAGTGCTAACAAATGAAAAATGTATTAACGGTTTCGCGTTTTGGGACTTACCGCGTACGTGTGTATGTATTTCAAGACCGTCAATTTGTTTGCCGAGGCAGTATATTATGGGTTACATCTACTTCCGGTTATAATTGTGATCATTATCTTTGACATGGTATTCACTTCCTAGATTAATTTCATACAAATTGATGGAAGATAATTGGGTCGATGGAATATAGACTGTACCGTAACTATGATCTATTTTTCTTGTAGGTGGAAGTAATGAGTAATAGACGGTCACAATACCAACCGTGTTCGAAAGTTTCGAGAGCTAAACGAGTTTTCAAACTAGATTTCTCTTAAACCGTGAAACCTCGTATTAAAAGAGTTAACTACATTTTCGGCTTATTTTGCCAGTTAGAGGTACATATGTAACAATAGTCTCTACTATTTCAGACTCATTTTAAATTAAAAAAAAACATAAATTTCTTAAACATTTTCTTACGCGGTAAGTGGCTTAACATTCCGCGCAATAGACGTTCGTAGAACTGTGGTAATCAAATTCTTTCCTTACCAACCCATAATTCCATTGTGTCTAAATGACCAACTGTTTCCTACAATTAAGAGTCATCGTTGGATCTTCACGGATAACTCACCGGTATTTCGTATTTTCCATATGATGTACTCATTAGCACGTGCTTCGCGTAATACGTACTTATAAAAATTGTTGGCGAGCTTGTACAGGGAATGAGATATACGTGTAACCTTGTCGTAGAAATCTGGCACGTGTTTGTTCCGTCAAAGTTTCCGTGAATCGCTCCCGAAATTAAAAGTGATCTCGATGTTTACGTATTCGCCGCCATCTTGGTTAAGAGTGATCGACCTCGCTTTTTGATTTTATCGTGGTGATTACTAAAGTGGAATATCGTTCGTTTCTTGCTGAAATGATAATTAATAACAGGGAAAGGTAGAAGGTAGATATTTATTTTCTAAAAAAAATTAGAAAAATATACCTAAAAATTAAGATCAAAGTATGCAAACTTGCGTTTCAATGCGTTTGGTAGAACATATCTTCTACGCATGTCCGCTATGAGCGTCAACGTCACTTTCTTTCCTTTGGTTTGTTCGACGAACTTGCCAATTGTTTCTTAAAAATTAAAAAAAAATTAAATTTTTGTACAATAAAGAAAAGAATTTTTGTTTTTTCCACTTATTTGTAAATTTGTTTTCCATTTCAGTATTTCGAATTAGTTTAAAATATTAATCATTCCGATTAAATTGGTAAACTTGTGAAACGCGTGAGTTACCTCAAGGTCCAAATCTTATGCTGAATAATTCCATGCAGGGGTCTAATACAAAGGTCGTAGAGGACAATGTCTTGCACTCTATTGTTTAGGTAGCGTCGTGGGGACTCATACTCAAAAACCTTGACCGCCCAATTTCGTGGCTGGCCACTTTAGTACCAATATTCGAAAACAGTCAGTCCTAACCGGACATATCCCAATATCACGGTACTATGTATCTTAGGATAACCGTAGCCTCGGTATCAGTTCAACTAAACAGTTTGCAATTCCTGCAGTGACTGAAATTGTAAATATCAAATGCCGTTTTGAACATAGAACCTTTGATTGTATGCACTGAATCACGATATTTAAATCAGTAGACTTCAACACGTCTTCGTCAATAATGTTCGAAAACGTGTTGACATATAGTACACAGAAATAAAATTGCAGTTTGTTTTTAATTAACAATGAAAAACATCGACCGTTTAAGTAAATACAGGATTTTAATTTAATAATTGCAGTACATGTGTATATTTTTTTTAAATATATTACTCCGTTCTTCAATTTATCTGAAAACAATTTAAACTGAGAAATGCATTTATTAATTATCTAGTTTATCTGAGATAAACTACGCTGGAATTGATAATACATAATTTAGAATTAGATGGCAGGATTATCTAATCTATAATAACATTGCCATCTTGATTTCAGGTTGGATTATGTTTCGCGATTAAAACGAAGAGCGATAAAACTGAGGGGTAAAGAAGCCGCGTGGACGCTAATTCTGACGATTTGATTCTGTAATGGGACGTAGAGACAACATAAAGATGCATCAGCTACCTGTGATCTTCGTTCTAATGATTTTAATGTTCGGTAAGATGGAAGCTCGGGGACAATTATTTATTGAAGACAATATTAGAACGTACATCTGAACGCGACGTGAATATCGCAATACCGATAGCGTATCGTGAAGTTTTTTTAATATTTTTCGTGCATTAAAAACAAATATAATAAATACAGATTTTGCATTTCGAGTGCCGTTTCATTGTTGAAATTGAATATTGTCAGTTTACGAAATTGTGTTCTGTATATTAGTTGGCAGTGTGTTCCCCGTGTCACAAAAGGATGGACAGGACAGAAGTGCAGTAGACGTTACTACAACCACCATTTCAAGCGCCAATGGTACCAATCATAACGCAACGGTTGCACCTTCGGTCAAAGCGGAAGGAAATAAAATGGGTGAGTACAATGGAATTTCTTAACGATTTAGACCTTTGTGCTCGTATTAGCTTGGCTGGCAGTAATAAATAGGGACAATATTCTCTACGTACAGGGTGTCCCATAACTAATAATATATCCAGAGGGTAATAACTTCGCCTAAAAAAATCAAACGAAAATGTTAAATATTTCCCAAATCACTTCAATTTTGAGAAAATAAAGGTTTAATATCAATTGGGTTACCAAATGTTTATGCCATTATTTTAAATACAGAAAACTTAAATAGTATCAAGGCTGTTGTACCGTTGAAAAATGCAACTACGTCGAAGGAAACAGCACCGCTGAGTATACAGAAACCAACTGAAAATGAGATGTCTAAGGATAATTCCACAAAAGAAGCAGAAGATATGCTTAATAGTAACCCAAGTGCACCGCATGATAGCGGTGAAAATTCGGACGACACTTCGCCGTCGAGTACGATAGGTATAGACACCATTCAAAGTTTAAATACATTATACAACTATCAACAAAGAACGGATTATATTATTTTTCTTCGATCTTTAATAAGAGTCCACAACAACCATGGTTGCCGCGAGCAACAAGACTAAGACGAGTAAGACGGAATCTCAGGCACCTCAGACTCCACCTGATGAAAGTAAGGAAAAAGATGAGAAGAAAAATGAGATAAACCTGTTAAATCCAACAGAAACCACGCATCAAGTAACGTACGACGTTGCATCCAGCGAAACGAGTCATCCTTCAAATGTGAATGACACAGGTATAGAAGTTGTGTGCTATAGTTTTAATCAGTTATTATGTAGAAAATTTCTAACACATTACATAAATTCTATTAATTCCTAGGCAAAGACGCAAAACCTGCCGTTAATCATACTGCAACATCGAATAGCTCAGTAGCGCCGTTAGTCGCGGATATAGCTGCAAATGCAGAGCCTAAAGAGGTCGTTGCAGAGGTGAAACCGACTACTCATAGTCGAAACAATAGCATGTCATCGGGAGTCATAGCGTTGGTTATTGCGATGAGCTTTGGTATCGCAATTGCGACAGTATACGTTGGAATGATTGTCTGGAGGCGATATAACGAGTAAGTTAAATAGTCAAGTACTCTAAGTACCCAATTGTTTAAATTAGCCAAGTGTTTTTACGCGTTAAATGAATTTATTTTAGGTATAGGTACGGCCATCGTGAGTTACTTGTTAATGAATTAGAATTTGATACTAATGAGTTGCGACACTTTGAGGTAAGCGGTACAGTTAACTAAAATTATGCCACTATATGGTAATGTAATCATATTGTATAAATTGTTGCAGCTATAATTAAGAAGAAAAAGAAGAAACCTGCAGAAAGGATACCATTGAATGACTCACATCCATGGCTGGTACCATACAACTATTTAAAGGTTCATTAATCTGTGATACTAAGGACATGCATTGCGTCTGACAGTCAACAAACCAAATATATTTGGATAACGTTATACATTTCTTGTAATGTAATTGTTTTATATGTATACAACCCGATTTTTTCAATAAGTTGGTCGTTCATTCCTTCCCCTGTAGACAAGTAAAATAATATCATTATTTATATATTTTTTTTTTCGTAATAACAGGCAAAATTGTTGAATAAAGTACATACTTCTGTATCTCTCCAGAACAGTATGGGTGCTAGAATGATATGTATCGGTTGTGTCAACAATTATTGTGAACGATATTCCTTATTGTTTTGTAATACTTACTAAATTTTTATAATCTAGCATTATCATTGTTCTTTTTCATTTTATATTATACTGTGTGTGATAAACATGTAAATACTGTTAGTGAATAAATAAGTGCATTATTTTTTTAAAGAACGACTTTTTATTATAATATTTATGTAATTTAATAAAAATGCTATGAATAACATACTATTTTTGATTATTCTAAATGATTATAAAAATTATAAAAATAACACGAATTTCGAATTTCTGATCTATTATAAGTTATACAATTATTAACTCATATAATTTGCGCAACAATATATTTATTTATAAATTTCTTTAAATCATATTCTAAAAAATAGTTACAAATAACAAAAACATATTTTGCATATGGTATTTAGTATTGTTCTTTTTGTAGTTTTGTGGTTCAGTTACTATGGATAATTTCCATAATATATCGTTATCTTCTATATGAGGTGTCTACAGTGTTGATTGTTGGAATATTAGTATAAATTATTAGTAACATTGCAAATGGCAAGTACATACTTTTAGATGTTTGTGTATTCACTCATTTAGATTAGTTTTTCTTCTTTGTAACTACAAGGGGACCCACATTGTCACACTGTTCTTGATTGTGGGGTCCATGAGCGCCATCACAATATGGCCACTGAAATCGGATAAAATTCTCATTACTAATAACAAGGAAATATTTCAATATTCTATTTAGATTAATAATGAACAGTAATGTTCATAGAAATACTAGTTATGACAAAAAGGATCATGCGATTATATAACATGTATCTTGGATATTTATTCTTAGATATGGTTAATGTAGGTCAGTGACAAAATATCCCTAAAATCTTAATGCCATGTAACTATGCCATATGGAATAAAACTGAGGAACTTACATTCTTAGATCTCCAACACCGACAAAACACAGCTTTTTCTGTGATATCTTCTATATCCACAAAATCTACTACTTTATTCACATCCAGTTTTACACTATGGTTGACACGTCCACTGGGCTGAATAAAACAAATAATTTACAAATACTCGGTTTTGAATAAAAACACCGATTACTCAATAGTAAAGCATATACTTTTTATTATTTATATTTTATAACAACAGGTTTATTATGTTGTTAACAGGAAAAGTTTCGAAATAAATACCTACGGGCGTCCAGAAGTGTTATGTAATCAACAAATGAAAAAGTAAAATATACTGTAATATGCTATCTTAACGTCCTTGATACTCTGGTAACAGGTAGGTTACTTACCGGGCCTCTAGCTAACGGACAAAATGCTTTGTAGGACATATAGCCAATGCCAGCTAACAACGCAGTCGGTGGAATTAAGGCAATCCAGTCTCGTACTAAATAAAAGTATAGAATTCTTGTAAACTTATATTATTCGTCATATTCTCTCGAAGAAAGTGGTACTGTACTTCTGCAGTGTCATGTTTAAATAGTGGTTTTCGTACAATCAATCAGTGCGATCTTGCGTAATAATTAAACATACAGTAAATAGAATGTTCAATTTCTTACCTCCCAGTCGAAACCATCCTCCTATAGATTCTGGAACTGGTAATCCAGCTAAATAATTGGGAATAGATGTCTTCACGAGATGTGCAATTGGCTCCATGTTTCCTATTACTACTATCTGAGTCAAATTACGACTCAGATTCGAATGCAAACATAACTAAAAGCGCATGTTCAGATCACTTTTATTATATTCCTTAGAATTATGGAAAAAAGTTTAAAAATTCAGCTATTCATATATATTATTAAAAATCTGCAATCGAAGGTCGAAGATGAGGACGATATATTTCATTATTTACATTCAATATATTTTGTTAATCATTATGGTTTAGAATGTTGAGTAATTAATCCAATATTATCTTTAGTTAATATTGTGATACATATTTCTAAATCTGATTCCGTATTAATATATCATGGACAGCCTCTGATTTGTTGAAAATACAAATACGCACGATGTTTATCGAAACGAATACTCCATTCGGTGAAAAGAAATGCATTCGTCCAACGTTAAAAAAACATTAGAATTATTCTATACAGTGCATAATCAAACAACGCAACAAGTATATTTCGAATTCTCAATATGAATTTTTAAATCACTTGTTTCCAACTGCATTGTTGCCGGCAGATTTTGACTAACGTAGTCGCTCAGGTGAAAGGCCGGCGGAGACCGCAACAATGCAGCGACTAGATCTTTGGGTCAAGGAATGCAGAATGAAAAAAATCTCTGCATTTTATCCGCTAAGTTAAATCTATCGATAACGTTTACACGTTGTTCGTCTAAGCATGCAAATACCTGAATGTCGAAGAATGTCCGGCGTTACGTGTGATAGGAATACTCTTGAAAATAGCTGCACCAAAATCTGCTTCATTTCCGTAGCCCTCTGGAGGCTAAAAAGGAAGGCGTCGCCGCAGTCGTCGCGAGATGTCTTGTAGGTGGCGCCATCCAGTCGCGAGGTGTACGCCGGGCAGGGTGGTGGTGTCTGCGTCGTCCGCAAGGATACGTCGTCGGTTGCCGCGACGCCGCCGCGGTTCGCGCAGGCACAGGTACGAAGTGCGCGCGTTTTCGAGGCGGTATCACGAGAAGCGCAGGAGTGGCGTTTCCACGTATCGTGTCTACCGATGTAGCTGGTACAGGGCATCGTTGACGGTTAATGGTAGTAGCAGAAAGTCACGGCGGCATCTCGTCGGGAAGAGGTGGCCAGGAACGAAGAGGAAAACCGAGGGAGGGAAGGAGATAGAGCAGTTGTATATCGCCGCGCGGTGCAGTGCGAAAAGTGTTCACGAAGGGGGCCCCTGCTTCCTCTCGTGTGTGTGGGTGTGCGTGGCGTGCGTGCGTGTGCCGAGCTAGCACGCAGAACGTTGACTAGTGACACACACACACACACGGCGCACACGGTGGTTAGAGAAAAGGGAAGAGAGAAAGACGGAAAACACGAGCCGCCTGATAATCGTTGTGCACGGTGTGCGGGTATCGTAAAGGTGCGTCAAATGACAGTGAGGTGATCAATGTGCTTGAAACATGGCTGAGGAGCTAGTGGTCACCCTGAACCGCGGCGATTCGTCCGGATTCGGGTTCTCGCTCCTCGGTACCGCGGGTCTGCCGCACGTCATCTACGACATTGTCGAGAACTCGCCGGCAGCAAAGAGCGGCAAGGTAAGTGTTTCGAGTCTGGTTTGGATTAATTGCGCGTACCCGAAACACCCGTGTGTGCCTGTGGCATCGGTGGCTTCGGGGAGTCCGCCTAAAACAGCGGTGATCCCCCCTTCCCAACGGTTATTGGCTCGAGTAGTCGATACCGGTTAATACAAACATTGTAAGCGAGACTTCGATCATCCTCTGTACGTCACGAGTAGTCGCTTGGTACCAGAAGTTCGAGGACGGTCAAAGGTGGAATTCGCAAAGATCAACCCCCATGAGATATGGCATGCACGTTCGCGCATTCAATCATTGAGAATCCTACGAATGCAAGGGCCTGCAAAATAACGCCCGGTATATATCGACCCGTGTTATTATCACGAGCACCCTCTGTCGCCCCGTCTGTTTCTTCCACGACCTCCGATTACTTTTCATTCTCACGCTTTGCGAGCGGTTCTTGGTTTTTCTTGTGTATACACCCGTCTTAACGTCGACGGTACAACCGGGATGCTGATTGGCTGGGTGGGATCGGTTTAACGGCCACATTCCTGCCTGTCGGTCCCTCTGTCCGCCGTGTGCTCTCTCTCTCTTCTCCTTCTCTCCCTCTTTTTCTCTTTCCTGTTTCCTGGGGATCATACCCCTTCTCGACGGTCATACAAATTGGAAAATTTGAATCGGGACAAAAAAGCCAGATCTTTTTGCGCGTTCCTGGCCGCCGAGTATGTATGTATTTCGTTTTCAAACGATCCCCCTCTTGTTCATGTCGAAATATTTTCAACGCAGCCATGTTTACGTGCCAGAATAGCAAACTCTGTTTCTATGACGAGCTAGATATATGACATGGTGCTTGACTTCTGATATGTTTGGAACTCTCTTGGCTCTAAGTCTGCTTGTCATTGTCCTATACAGTTTACGAATCGCTTACACGAGCTCTTTTCATCCGTATACCGCCCATTCCTGCCGTTTACGTTTGAAAAATATACGTTACGCGAGACAAGTTGTAAATTCATTCAAGCCGAACAATCGAAATACCTGACACGTAATATTCGCACCGAAACATCGGTTTGAATTAGCGAACGTACGCGTTGCGCGATTAACACGATTATGCCTGATGGGTTGACCTTAAGTAAGTCATCGAAACTTTTTCCGTAGGTTCACGCAAGCGCACGTCCGTATTCGTTTGTCAATTGCTTTTCGCGGTAACTCGGTGGTTCTTCCGAATAGAACGTATTTCCCGGCCCTTGTTATGGCACAGAGAATAGATAAATTGCTCTGTCGGGACTGGTTTCCGATACCAGCAGCGGGAAGATGTGTATTTCGAATGGCAGATGTGAAATAGATTAACCGGCGTGTATAGACCAGTTTCCAATGAACACGCTAGGTGTGAGTGAGACAAAAGTATGTAGGGACCCGTTGAGGAATCTGCCCGACAGTTATTAACTACGGCGCGTCTTTCTCGAATTATCGAACGGATCAATATTTTTCGGGGTGATTTATATCAATACTCATTTCGCCGTTTACGTCCTCCCTTCGACGATGTAAACACGTTTATTTTTAGACGAATACTGGCCCTTCTGTTTTACGAACCGTGCCAGTGACAAGTAATCAAAGTGAGTGTACCCAAAACTGTCTACCGCGCATGCGCGCACGTTTTGTATTCTGCATAACTGTCATTCGCAAGAAGAATGTATGTAACAAAGGAGCGGCTGGGCATTACGCGTGATTGGAATGTGTCACTGTGCCCCCCATCCGTCTTCTTTTGCCTTTGTTTTCGGAATTCTTAGAGCCCATCGCAGACACGATTTAACGTACCACGGGCTGTATTTGCTACTTTGTTTAATGCGACTGCCCGAACACGATAATCATAACGTGTGGGGCACTCGTGCGGTACGATCGTGTTTGACTACAATGTGTACAACGCTGCTATAAAACCTGTCGTAAAAGCGAGTTTGATGAACGATATGTTGCAACGTGTTTGACCGTTTGACGGACCGGTTAGAATTTCGGCTTCTTCTCACGACCCAATTGTGTATAGAGTAAATCCTCGAAGAATGGTCGAAGACCTTGTCGGCACTGACCATGAGAGGTTCCCAGGTGTATCGCTGACCTTTCAATGAGGTTTAACACAGTGATAGAGATAAACACTCATCGAGAATTTACAGTGTATTGCGTTCAGAGATTTAAAATCAGTATTATTTAGGCCAAGTTATATTGAAGGAGGAATATTACTAAAGCTGAAATAGTTATCGATATCGCTTCGATTTTCAAAATATTGTGACTTGCAACTCGCCAAACATTTCTAAACGTTCATGAAATAGACTATAATTTGTTTCCTTAAACGTGAGTTTTGAAAAAATTGTAATATTGTACGTTAGTAATGTTTCATAAATGTTTCATAATTTTAAAGAACTTCTGTTATTCGTCATTGTAAAATGACTATGCAAGCCGATTTGGTGAGTCACTGTATACTTGTAAGATACACGTAATGTTCCGGAAACTCGTATCGCAATTTAGTTGATACATTGGGACGAAAGTAACCGGGAAAATAGCTCAATGAAGAACACGTTGAAAAACTTTTCACGCTTCCGTGTAACGTATGTTTCTTTTTGGTAATCAAATTCCATCGAACCTAAGATTTTTCTTTTTCCTGCAATTAATATCACAGTAATTGCGGGCTTTACGAGCTGGAAGCAAGTTACGCAACCATATCGATGGCTATTTTGTATTTATTGTTCGGACCGACACAAAAAACACTTCCCTTCAAATTTATAACATTACACTACCTATTTTGATTACTTTTTTTTGTCCGATAAAATGCAATAAAAAAAACTAATATACAACAGTATATAACAGATACGAAAAAAATAAATCTATAAAAATTGAGTATAATGGAACTGATATCTACTGAATTCATTTCCGAAAATGAGTTCATCCTTTATAAGACGATCTTTATTGCGCAACGATATTTTTGCTCTTTCACTCCGATCATTCGAGTTTTGTTCGTTTCTAGCTAAATGATATTAATCGAGCTCGATTGGCGTGTATCAATTCAGGGGGAGCACGTAAAGAAAACTACACACACCCGATAAGAAACGCGCAATAACTCAACCTGGGCGCACTTGAGAAAACACGCGAACGCTGGCCAGCTTGATCCTAGTTTCGTTAGGCCCCCCTCTTGGGTTATGAAATTGCTTTCTTTTTTGCTTTTCAAATGATTCTTTGATCGGCCCCACCGCTTATAATTCACCTGCAGATCGACGTTATGCAACTGCGTTGCGTGATAACGTGGCGAAAAGAAGAATTTGAAGTTTCCCGGCTCTGCCGTGGCACGCGAGCCCCCCCTCCGACAATTAACCGAACGCGCGTACACGTCGTCGAATTTCTCGAATTTATCGATCGATCGTTTTCTTGATAACCGTAAGACGAATGCAACCCCTAGTAATTTCGCTGGTTGTTCTGGTTAATGCT